CTCATAAGAGTGAAGAAAATAATTTGTTTTATTGGTATTTATTTAATTTGGTATCTTTTTTGTTGTTTTTTAAACTGCAAAGAACACTAGCACACTGGTGAATAATTGTAAATTATTGTATTCCAGTAAGGGCAAAGTACAAGATTGACAGTTACAGGCATGATACCCAGAGGTAACCGTAAGTGGTTAATAGTTAATACCTGTAATAGTCTTATTATTAGGTACATGAATTCCTTAATCTCACAGCCCCTTATTTATATAAATTTTCTTTACCATCAGATGCAGGCCAAGTTGGCCAACAAAAAAATGACAGACACATGGCTTGGAACAAATCATTGAACACTGTTGGGGTGCTTTGAGTAGCCAACTTTTATTCCTAAGGTTTAACATTTTTATTTGTATTAACTTTTAAATGTTTAAAAACTATAAAAAGACAAAAAACAAAAACACATCATTTGTTGCTGTAACTGCTTAAACATGTAAGCTGGAGTTGGGCACTAATGTTTTTGTTGCTTAATATAAAAGTAGAAAGACCAAAGCCAAAACATTTTTGTTAAGTTCTGGATAGAGTAAGGGAGGTTTATAAACCATTATAGGGTTATATTTGCCACCTGTGTCCCATTAGGGAGGTTTCTTTTCACTTCCTGATCGATAGCCACAACAGGAAGCGAGAGGAAATCGCTCCAGAGAGGAAAATCCATGATGGCATTTTTTTTTCTTTGGTTATCTGCTGGCCGTGTTAATAGTACTATAGCTACAGACTAGCAAAGAGTACTACATGGGCAAAAGGGGGTTCTGAAACATGGACGTGTCCTTTAAATAAGCACCCAATTAATAGATCAATGCTTACTTTTCTCAGATTTGGGAGTGGCTCCACTCCAGACATCGCTGGAACAGTATGGGATGAATCTGCAGAGAGAGGGGAACATAGTAGGCGGTAAGAAGCACCCCGGCCACCAACACCAGCTCAATACTGAATATCTATTATGAATGTAATATGGCGGACAGGAAACAGGCCATACTTACACCATATTGGCGTTCCACCAATGTGGATTCTCTTCGGGTTGGGTTGACAAAATCCCTGAAGCTGAAATATGAAATTAAGCTTGACGCAAAAACAAGTGTGTGTGGGGAACATGGGTGGGGGTGGGCATACAGGCATGACACGACAGTGACAAGACAGACATAAGCGTGGGCTGACGCTACACAATGGGAGGGAGTTACATGGTAAAGGACTACAGCACAAACAAGTGCATTATGGGTAGAAAGGTGGTTTAACACACCGGGGAGATGGGGATCTCAGTGTTGGCACACTCACCGGTTTTCGTGGACGGCCACCCATTTGAGCTCATGAGCCTCCTCATGGTGTCATAGCGCAAGTCACAGTTCTCCCGGCTGATGCAGTACCAGCCACCTAACAGTGAGGGGCAATAGAGGGATGGAGGGTTATACAATGGCAGACAAAGTAGAAATACATTCATAAAATACATACAGGATGAAGATAAAATACTTCCAAGATAATCCTTTAAAAAAGGAGAACATTGGACTCCTATTCCCAATAAAACGTTATTAAGAACACATTTCACAGGGCTGCGTGCCATTGCTTATTTCTCCATTTCTTAGATTTGAGCGATGACACGCAATTCTGCAAAACGTGTTTTTATTTGCTGTAAATGTTTAGTGTTAATATGTTTTAATTGTTGGTACCTCCAAAAATATGGTCACAAACACAAATTAGAATTGGGGATGTGGCACCATCTCACAATGCAAGGCAAGGTATCAGAGTGGCCCATCAGCAGGCCTGAGTACTGTCAGTGGGGAAGGAGGTTGACACTAGTGATGGGCCGAACAACCCCCGTGTTCGATTCGAATTCAAACTTTAGAACATGGAAAAAGTTTGAATTCGAACTCTAACTCAATGCAAGTCTATGGGGGCTAGAACTTTGAAAATCAATTACCCCATTTTGAAGGTTTAGTTGCAAGGGCCTCTTCCCCACAAGCCCTGGGGCATTTGTTGTGGGAGTGCAGACATGGGGCTTATTCACATCAGGGTACCCCTTTAATAATGGGGCACCCAGATGTGCGCCCCCCCTTGTGAATCAGGTAGACCACCACCATTACATGACCACCAAACACCTCAGCAATGTGGTAAACACTGTAGCAAAGTAGTGCAGGGGTAGGCAACCTCAGCATTCCAGCTGTTGGGGAACTACAAGAGTCATGGCTCCTAGAGGCAAAGACATGATAGGATTGTGGTGTCGGCACACCTGGGAGTTCCAAGGGTTGTCTACCCCGGATGTAGTGGTTGGGGCGTGGATAGGGTGATCTTGCCACTGAACTTTCCCCAAGATCTTGTTTTAACCTAAGCTGCTATAATAATTAAAAAGGCAAGCAGTGAACATGATCACTTACATTGCTTGATATGAACATGAACTCAAGGGTCTATCAAACATCTAAAACCTTCAGAGACGATGCTTCTATGGCCCCCTTTCTACTACATCCTGCAGACTGACATTTCATACAGGATCAAAAAGAATATTAAATCGCTCATTGCATTTTTTATTTTTTTTTATCTGGCTCAGATATAAATAAGGTATAACAGGCAGGCAAATCATCAGTCAAGTCCAACCATAACCAAAATATAAGGCTTGGGTGGACTGACCCTTTAAGTAGAGGCTTTCAACTCTGTAGAACCAACTTAAGGGCCCCCTAAACAAATGATATTCTCTACGACTTCTGACAGCGTAATCCGGTGAGCATGTAAAATAAAACTGCGAATAAACTGAATAAAATGCAAAGTATATTTTCCCTCTAAAGAAGCTTTCATGTGGACAGCGGCAGATTGGCAAACACCGCCGGTGCTCGGCGTAAGAAGTGGTTACACTTATGTTTCCTCCAAGCCCGGTCTTAACCTCTGACCCGAGGTCATACTAACATCTCGTTCGCTCATTCATTCAAGAACGTGTTTTGGAAGCCAACGGTGTTCTTACAACTCTACACCGCAAGCTCTGTTTATTTTCTCTTCCTCCGTTTGGGCAGGAGGCCCAACACATCTAGCAACCATAAAAAAAAAAAAAGAAGAAGATTTAAAAGGAGTTGAGCTTTTACCTTCCAAGAAGACGAGCCACCGCCGGCTCCCTTTGGACTCTTTTAGGTAGTAACTAGAAAGTAAACACAAGACGGACTCTTAGTCTGCGAACTGCAATCAAAAGGAACGATTTCGGAATCTTGAATACACATTGGCTTTGAATCTTTTTGAATATTGATATGGAAGAGCGGAAGGGGGCTTATATACCACACAGCGATTTTACTTAGCTAGCACAAACAATTTTAGAACAAATCCAAAATGTACATGACAGCCCTCCTAAAAAAACATATCACTTACGATTAATAAAATAAAAACAAAGTTAATAAATAAAATGATAAAAGCACACACACACTTTATTTTTTTTTAAAAGGCACATTTATACAAATATTAAAAGGATTATGTGGATATATTTTAGCTCATTATGCTAGTACTAGATTACAACCCAATTCCAAAAAAGTTGGGACAAGTTGTGTAAAAGCCACATAAACAGAATGCATCAGATTGTACTCTCGATCATCGCAAGCCCGCCCCCCTGAGGGGTGGGCTTCCGATGACCGCAATGCTGAACGGGCAGTGTGCGCGTGCGCACACCGGCCCGTTCGGCATTTGTCTCCCGAGCACCGTTCAAACCAGCCGAAAATCGTACGATTTTCAACTGGTTTTCTAGCGTGCTCCTTAAGACAAAAGACGTGCGACCGTACAGTAGGAACAGTCGCACGTCTTCGTTCACACTGCTCGATTCTCGTACGATCGCGGGATTTCCCGCGATTCTCATATGAGAAAATCGAGCAGTGTATGGGCACACACCTTACAACCATCGCAAGACAAAAGTCTTGCGATGGTTGTAAGGCAATTAAAAAAACAAACATACGATCTGCCTATCTTGGACAGGCAGATTGTACTTGCGATGATCGCAAGCCCGCCCGAGGACCGCAATGCCGAACGGGCAATGTGCGCTTGCGCACAACGGCCCGTCCGGCTTTTATCTTACGAACATGCTACACACCCGCCGAAAATCGTACGATTCTCAGCGGGTTTTCGAACATGTTCGTAAGATAAAAGTCGTGCGACCTTACAGTAGTTGAGGTCTCACGGCTTCCACACACCTTACGATAATCGTACGATCGCGTGATTTCTCGCGATTATCGTACGATTATCGCGAGGTGTGTGGGCACCTCTAGAGAGTCAGAGGGTCTCAGAAGTAAAGATGGGTAGGAGGTTCACCAATCTGAAAAGCTGCATCTAAAAATTGCCGAACAATTTCAGAACAAAATTCAACGTAAAATTGAGAACCTGGAGAAATCTCTGTGCGCAAGGGAGGGACAAAGCTGAAAACGCAACATTGGATACCCGTGAACGTCGGGCCCTCAGACGGCACTGCATTAAAAAACATGCACGATTCTGTGATGGACATCACTGCATGGGCTCAGGAATACTTCCAAAAATCACTGTCTGTGTACACAGTTCGCCGTGCCATCCAAGTTAAAGCTCTATCATGTAAAGATGCCATATCTGAACATTATCCAGAAACGCCGCGGTCTTGTTTGGGTCAAAGCTCATTTAAAATGGTCTGTCGCAAAGTAAAAAAAAAAAAAAAAAAAAAAAAACATTGTGTGGTCTGACAAATCTAAATTTGCCATTTTTGGCAACCATGTTCGCCACGTCCTCCAGACTTAAGAGGAGAAGGACTGCGGCTTGTTATCAGCGCTCAGTTCAAAAGCCTTCATCTCTGATGGTATGGGGAGTGCATTAGTGTGTATGGAATGAGCAGCTTGCTCATCTGGAAAGGCACCATCAATGCTGAAAGATATATCCAGGTTTTAGAGCAGCATATGCTTCCATCCAGACATCATCTTTTTCAGGGAAGACGTTGCATATTTGAGCAGGACAATGCTAAACCTCATACTGCATCTTCATGAGAACAGCATGGCTTCATAGTAGAAGACTCCGGGTGCTAAACTGGCCTGTCTGCAGTCCAGTCACCAAATGAAAATACAGTGGTACCTCAGTTCAAGAACTTAATTAGTTCCGCGATTCTGGTCACGAACCGATTTGGTCGTGAACCGAATCAAACTGTGATCAGACCGCGATCTCGACTAGAGGAAGCCATGACCATGTGTCAGAGCAGGGAAGATGGCTGCGGTTGTGTTAGTCACCCGAAGCGGAGTTCGCGAACAGAAGCAAAATTTTGCCAAACTTCCTTTTCGCGAACCGAATTGTTCGCAAACAGAAGCGTTAGTGAACAGAGGTACCACTGTATTTGGCACATCTTGAAACAAAAAATATGACAAAGACGGCCCAGGACTGTTGAGCAGTTACAATCCTATATCAGGTCAGAATGGGACAAGATTCCTCTCCCAAAACTCCAGCAACTGGTCTCAGTTCCCAGACATTTACAGAGTGTTTTTTAAAAGAAGAGGGTACACATGGCCCTGTCCTAACATTTTTGGCACGTGTTTCTACCATCAATTTCAAAATAACCTGATTTTTTTTCTTAAAACGGTTAATTTTCTCAGTTTAAACATTTGATATGTTTTCTATTGTGAATTAAATACGGGTTTATACGATTTGCAGATCATTGCATTCTGTTGTTATGTGGATTTTACACAGCGTCCCAGCTTTTTTGGAATTGGGGTTTAAGGTCTACATTTGGGGCATTTGACCTTCCCTCTCCAGTGGGAGACACAGGCTGTAATAAAACAGAGGGTCGGACCCTTCTAAAGCTTATATATAGGCTGGCATTCCACTTTATTAAGGTTAATCTTTGATAAGTCAAGCACCTGGTCACATGACTTGCTGTGCCATAAGATTATGATACTGACCTTTGGTGAAAACCAGCCAACAAGTCGGTTACCCCCATCTCACCCCCTCCCCAATTTTCCACATCCATAAATATGTGATCAATGCCCCCAGACCAATCCTAGATTCACCTTGCATGGAAAAAAATGCCGTGCCTTATTGTCTTCAAAAATAACCTTTTGCTGTATTACAATTAAATTCATCATGGCATAAAGATTTTGTTTGTGTGTGTGTTGGATAAAAGCAAAGCCTTTACGTTTTGATTCAGGAAAGCCTAGTAGCACCTTTGTTCTACCACAGATTGAGTGTCTATCAGCACAGATTTTAGGAAGGAGAAAGATCAGCCCCTCCATGGCATCCTTAGCCCCTCATTCTTCTAGGACAGGGAGGGAATACAAGCAAATAAATCAAAGAATAAGTAATCCTTTGGGAGGATGGTCCTATTTAAGTCCCTTATGTTCCAAGGCACATAGAATTAAATCAGATCTATTCATAAATTAACAAATCTAGAAACCTTTTGAATGATAGAAATCAGACAATCCAACGCATTAAAAGTGTATGTAATAACCCCCCCCCCTCACCACCCCCAACAATGAACCTCTTTTATTTGGTCTCCTTTGGTCTGTTTAATATACCATTGGAAGTGCTGTGTTATATCCGTTTGACAAATTCGTGTTGATCCTGCCAGAAATCTGGTCAGCTAATCACTTCCTCTACCTGATGGACTTGTCAATTACATTGTTTTTAACCTTCTCTGGGACATCAATTAGCCTGTGGTGGGCATATCCAGACACAGCTCTCCAGCATCACAAGCTGGGGTTCCCAGATGATAGACAACAGGCAGTGCAGAGGACTCCCAAGCTGCAGCAAGCCTGCAGGTAGTTTGATAATGAAGTCATTTAAAAAGGGACCTGGGGATGTGAAAACAAACTTATTTGATTTGCAAAGTAATTCCTATACGCATCCGATCGCTCAGCAGGAACATCCTGGGAGGGGGGTGTCAGGAGAGATAAGAGATCAAAAGCATTATTTGCATTTCAGATTCAAACTTTCAGAACACTGGGCAACCATTACAAAAAATTGGGTAACTGAAATGTAAAAAAAACATTTTTAGAAATTTAAGGTCACGCACTGGGCACATGACTATGGACATTTGATATAGGTCATCCGCACAAGCGGCAGAGGGCCTGGGAAGAAATTGGCCATACAGTATTCCGCAAATGGGAGCTCCAACAGCACAAGACACCGCGCAGACATCCAGGCAGCAGATACAAGGACGGGAACAACCTAGGAGTTCACAGAGAATTCTGCTTTAAAAAAACAGGTGAAAAACAAAACTGCACAAAAACACTTCAAAAATCGCCATTAAACAATTATACCCAAGTGTTCATGGGGGCTAAGGTGTTCCATCTACCTTTGTGTCTCTTCCTGTGCCATAATATAAAAAGGAAAACTCCATTAGGGACGGTGGGAGCCCCTCAATGACCACGGTAGGGGTAGAGATCCAGTAGCTCAGTGCAGGGATGGTGGAAGCTCCTGATAATGAGCACAGCAAGTGTACGGACCCAGGAACTCAGCACAGGATGGTGGGAACCCCTCATACTAGGTACAGTGGGTGTGTAGACTCAGGCACTTAGAAATCTCACCAATAGAGTCCCCAAGACACAAAAGAGTCTGCCAGGTGGTTTTGAGTGGACTAAAGCATTAGCGTTTTCCCCAAGGACAATTGCACAGGGGTGCCAGTCTGCAGGTAATCACAGCCTGAGCGATTACATGTATGCTGTTCATAAGGTATTCATGAGACTCATCAATCCGGTCCCATTGACAAGTGAAGATGGGGCCTTAAGAAGCAGGTCCAGTCCAGAGCAAGTATGTGCAGCCAGATGCTGGAGTCAGAGCATGTAGACTGGAAGTGGCTGAAAGAGTTTTTAGTAGATCAGCATAACTGGAGATGCAAAAAGGAAGGAATAAAAAGCACAAAAAACAGGATTTCATGGAAAAAAAGGCAATTGTTTATGATAAATCAGTGCTGCAGCAAACTAAAGTCATCCACATAAGCTGGTCCTTCACCAATAGATTTTTTTTCCTAATGAAAGAAATCAAACAGATTCCTCCATCCATGCTAAACAGTGTGGATGGATGAATTTACCTCTCTGGGCTATTATATGCTGACAGCCAGCACCCGCCATCAATAAATTCTCAGAGAAAGCATCTCTCTTGAGGCGTTTAAAAAGTGAATAGTCACTCCTTCCTCTTAGTATGTCCTAGCAGTCAGTAGTGGGGTGTAGTCCCATATGGGAGAATGCTTTCCACCATATCCCGATGACAAATTTGTTCGGAATCCGACAACAAATTGTTTTGGGTGTCAAGTTTGGGATATTAGCACCAATAAGCAGCCCATTTCATCTTCAGGAACCATGATAAAATTATGTACGGCATCTCTAAATCTAAAAATTCACAGAAATGCTTTTGTTTAGACGGAGGTTCATCCTCAAATCAACTGGAACAATACTTGTAAGGGAAAGCTCTTTGGTTGCTTTTGACTCAAGTTATTTGGGCAGAGGTTATTTGAGCAGAGCCATATATAGCTCTGACTCAGCAGGAGGTGTGTTGGACCACTGCGGAGAGGCCAAAATTGCCTCAGAAAGCCAAGGTCTTTCTGTCTAGCAAGCTGTGGTGGGACATGCAAGTTTGGTTATGACTGATTTACATACCAAGACTTGGCTCAGCTATTGTTTTCATGCACATTGAATCTATTTACCTGATTTAACCATAAAGTACAATTGGGCTTTAGTTATCAGACAACCTCTGTTGTAAATAGTTCTACTTCCTTGCTACATGACCTACCTAAAATGCAATCCTGGTTTTCAAAAGAAATAACCCTTCAGGATGCCTAGGTCTGGTTTGAGAACTCATCTGCCCCTAGACCCAAAGAGGACTTACCCGGCTGGGCTCCCGTCATTGCAGGTAATGGACTGGTTGTGCAAAAGATGTAACTTCATCTCCTCATCCAGCCGCTGGGCTGAACACGGGTACAGCGACTGTGCTAGGTTTTTGATCTGAGCCATGAAATTGTCCATGTTCCCTTCCACCGCAGTAAAATCTAATGGGAAGCTCTCCCCGCCTCCGTCCGTCCGCTCCCGGCTGCTGGGTACCAGCTGCTGCCCACGTCTCCTCAAGCTTTTCCTGCTTCCTGCAGTTATGGCACTGAGCAGGAGCAGCAGAGTAACACACATCCCTCCGGCCATGCCAGGCTCCCCGTGGCACCCTGCAAGAAAAAAACAACACAATTAATTGCCTCATCATAAACAAGGGAGCAATGCTGCTTTACTAGAACATAGCACTTGTGAAACATTTCTGGGTCAGTGTGAATGGAGGTCACATTCTCAAGGAGATCTTCCATTTTGATAAGCCTTTTTTAATCAGGGTTCCTCTAGATAGTGCTAGAGGTTTCTGGAGTAGAGTGGCAGGTTGACCACCCACCAAAATGGTGTTCCTAGTCAATGAACGTGCTGGCACACTCAGGGAGATCTCCATCTTGATGACCCTTTTTTCAACAAGGGTTCCTCTAGAGATTGCCTTGGACCTTGCTTTGTGCACTGGTGCGCGTTCATGTTGGAACAGGAAGGGGCCATCCCAAAATGTTCCCACAAAGATGGGAGCATGAAATTGTCCAAAATGTCTTTGTATGCCGATTCCCTTCACTGGAACTAAGGGGCCAAGCCCAACCCCTGAAAAACAACCCCACACCATAATCCCCCCTCCACCAAACTTTACACTTAGCACAATGGAGTCAGGCAAGTACCGTTCTCCTGGCAACTGCCAAACCCAGACACGCCCATCGGATTGCCAGACAGAGAAGCGTGATTGGTCACTCCAGAGAACACGTCTCCACTTCTCTAGAGCCCAGTGGCGGCGTGCTTTACACCACGGCATCCAACGCTTTGCATTGTACTTGTTGATGTAAGGCTTGGATGCAGGTGCTCGGCCATGGAAACCCATTCCATGAAGCTCTCTACGCACTGTTGTTGTGCCAATCTGAAGGCCACACAAAGTTTGGAGTTTTACAGGTAAACGCAATGAGGGGAATTTCAATTTCTCAAAACTGGAGCAGACAAAATCTGGAGCAGCTGTGCATGGCAACCAATCAGCTTCTCTTTCATTTTCAAATCTTAACTGTACAAACTGAAGAGAGAAGCCGATTGGTTGCCGTGCACACCCAGATAGCAAGGATAACTTGCTACAAACTTGTGGCAGGGTGAAATTGTAATTTTTGTTTAACTTGCTGCACACGTTCCTGGCAAGTTGTAAACTTGCAGAACATTCGCAGCACAAGTTCTAGTTGACACTTTTTGAATTTGTAGCAAAATTTGCTTGGCAAGTCTACAGCAAGAGTCCTGCAGGTCTTAGCAAGAGCTCTGCAAGCTCGCTAGTCTGGAGACTTGCAATGCAGACTTGCTGTAATTGTGCAACAAAATTGTGAAGCTTGGCAAGTCTGCAAGAGTTTAGCAAGTCATTTTCAAACTTGCAGCACAATTGCTTGCTATCTGGGCAGCTGCTCCAGATTTTGTCTGCTCCAGTTTTGATAAATTCCCTTCAATGTATTTAGCTATATAAACTGCGGTCACTCAATAGGCTGCTGCCAGTCGGAAGCCTCCACAGACAGAACACGCTTATCCTCAGCTAGAGGTCATCAAGATCACAGCTGCCTGGGAATGTCTAAAACTGCCTGAGGATCCAAAAAAAAAAAAAAAAAACGTCACAGAATTTAGGAGAGCCAGAACAAGAGAGTTACATCAGTGCTCCCCTTAGCATCCAGCATCAGCCCACACGTCTACAACACTCTTTATGGATTCTAGCTGACAGAACCTGATAGGGAACCAGTCTCTCGGCATCCCTATCAGGTTCTGTCGGCTACTGCTTGACAGCAAGAAGTGGGCGGATTCCATAGCAGGGTGCTGTAATGGATTCAGGAAGCCATGTACAGCACCCTGCATGCCCCTCCCACCAGCTATGACCTGACAGCATTGCACAGAGAAGCACAGAGACCCAGTGATTACATCATTGTGCCCAAAATAAGGTACGTAAAGGAAATGGAAGCATGTTAATGCGAGGGGGGGGGGGGGGGGGGGCACGGGGGTTTTG